AGGGGGGAGCTCCCCAACCCCCTGATCGACCCTAATCTGTGCGTGACAGGGTATGGAGCCCCAACCCCCCTGATGGGCCCTGCTCTGTGAGTGACAGGGGCAGCGCCCCAACCCCCCGATCAGCTCTGCCCTGAGCGTGATGACTAGGGGTGGCATCGTAACCTCCCGATCCACCCTGCTTTGTGCATGACAGGGGGAGGCACCCCAACTCCCCAATTGGCCCTGCTCTGAGCCCGACCAGGGGCTGCACCTAGGGATTGGGCCTGCCCTCTGCCACCCGGGAGCAGGCCTAAGCCTGCAGGTTGTTACCTCCCGAGGGGTCCCAGACTGTGAGAGGGCACAGGCCGGGCTGAGGGACCCTCCCTCCCCCCCAAGTGCACAAATTTTTGTGCACCGGGCCTCTAGTAATATTAATAATAATAGTTCCTATCTCATAGGGCTATAATGAAAATTAGATGAATTAATATCTATAAAGAATAGTGCTTGGCACATAGTAAGCACTCAATAAACATTAGCTACTTTAATGTCAATTATTATTTATCATCTTGGAAGAGAGGAGGAATGACTTCTGCAGGAATAGGTGTGAATGTATGGAAGGAGAGAATGTGGAAACCAGAGATACAGGGAGGAAATAATATGAGTAATGTGTGAATGAACAGATGACTAAAGCAGAAATTAGGTATACAAGATCTGATGGAGAAGAAGAATGGCATCTTCCTCCCTTACCAAGTGACCCAGTTACACATTGACAGTAACAAAACCTGCTCCAGAAGAGCATAAATATGGGGAAGAAAATTATGGAAAGACACACAGAGGATAAAAAATAATTGCCTTTCCTTTTAAATCTCTGTGGTGTGTGTGTGTGTGTGTGTGTGTGTGTGTGTGTGTGTGTGTGTGGAGAGAGAGAGAGAGAGAGAGAGAGAGAGAGAATATAACCCAAATAGGATGTGAAAAAATTGCTAAGTACTAAAATTTAGGGCTTTGCTATGTTCACCTGTAAAATCATATCTGGAGAATCACAAATATTTGCTATTATAAGAAGCATCTGAAACAGTCTAAATTCAGCATCTATATTTTAGGTGATAATTAAATACTCTAAACTTCTATCAAAATTATTGTCAAGTCTTTGACGGCTCATTGAATTTAGATTCTATATCAAATTTCATTCTCACTTTCACTGGATGATTATAGTAATACAACATACTAAAAATTAAATAATGTGCTAAATGGTTATTTTTAAAAAGTTGTGTATTATATATTTAGGAGATATGAAAGGAGCAGGAATATAATTTAAGCATATCTTGGGCAATTTTTCTACTCAACACTGATGTAAAAGCAATTATATCATATATAAATACTATGACAATGATGAAAAAGTACAACAAAAAAGAAATCCCGCCCTAGCTGGTTTGGCTCAGTGGATAGAGCGTTGGCCTGCGGACTGAAGGGTCCCAGGTTTAATTCCAGTCAAGGGCACATGCCTGGGTTGTGGGCTCAATTCCCTGTAGGGCACATGCAGGAAGCAGCCAATCAATGATTCTTTCTCATCATTGATGTTTCTGTCTCTCTCTACCTCTCCCTTCCTCTCTGAAATCAATAAAAAATATATTTTAAAAGAAATCCCACTGATTACATTCTCCCATCAAGAGTAATACCATTGTCTTAAAAAATTAATTTCTTTACCAATCTCAGCAACTTTCTAAGACATGAAAAATCTTAGAATTCACCCATACCATCTCAGTAAAACAATATGAATGAAATAATACTATGATTGTGTTTACAGAGCTACATCATCTGAAATTGAGTCTTTTATATAAACATATTTTTCTTTAACCCATTTTTCCTCTTTAAGAATACTCTATTTTAGCCCCAGCTCAGTGGATCAGTTGGTTGGAGTGCCATCTTTTACACCAAAATGTTGCAGGTTCCATTCCTGGGTTATGGGTTCAATCTCCTATCGGGGCACAAATGGGAGGTAACCAATTGATGTTTCTCTCTCACATTCATGTTTCTATCTCTCTCTCACTTCCTCACTCTCTAAAATCAATAAACATATCCTCAGGTGAGGATTAAGAAAAAGAATACTTTCAAAATCCTTAATTCATAGAATCTCTTCAGAAATAAATGTTCCTTTTCCTATAGTATTAATATATAATGACTTTGGTGTATGTGGGTGTGTCACAGGGGTTGAGGTGATAGTTACTGCCATTCTTCACTCTAGGAAGGAAAGTTTTAAATGTAAACAATATTAATGCCACCATTATGAAACTGTCTTTCCCAGAGAATTCATAGATCATTGATCACTTACAAAATTTAAAACATTCAGTTCCTGTGATTTCACAATGGATTCCAAAACTTCATTACCCAATCAAGGAGAAATTTCAAAATGTGTAAGGCACAACTTCCAAATCACAAAAGGTGTTATTAAGGTGGAGTTCATGTCTGCCTATTAATCAGAAAACCAAAATTGTGGAATGGATGGGCTTTCAAGGCATCTTATACATGTTAGCTCTTCTTTTCATTCTCTTCTTTTGTCAGTCTTATCTTTATTTTACACTCAAACCTGTTCTGTGATATTTTCTTGTCTCCCTGTAAACCTGATGTTTTATTCCATGAATAGACCTCTCTTTGTCCTGCCATGCATTTTGCATATAGCAGTTCAGACAAGGAAGGCCTCTTTAGCTCCTATTATTGTTATTGGTAGGTGACAGGCAGGATCCTTAGGAACCTATTGAAGGACTTTTAATGCTTTGCATTTCTATTCTGTGCTTTTTCCTGCTTGCACTCATTCAATTTCACACAGCTCTTGCTGCAATCTTCCCAATTTTGTTCTGCAGAAACTCATTACTTTTATTTTTACCACCTTTGCTAACTTTGGTACCAATTACCAATCTAACTAGATTCTGATTTCCATTCACTTTTCACGTCATTTTTCACTCTTTTGATATACAAACCTAAGCCTATGAATTCCTTCTGCTTTCTTTTTCTTGAGTTTATCTACTGTGTCATATGAAAGCCCTTTACCATGTCCTTGTCACATCAATTGGTATATCCATCTATTAATATCCCACGGTTAGAACTATCATTTCCAAACTTCACTTTAAAAGATGCCCAATTTTCCCATGAAGTTCATTCTACTAAGAGTCAACACTCTCCAGATGCCTCTGTTTTGGTTTGTCCTCTTCAGAAGCGGTTATTTAACTGTCCTTAAGTCTATTTGATTTGAGCATTAGCCAAGTTTCATCTCCACAGTTCTGGTTATAATAGCTTGTCTAGAAAGCCTCAAATAGAGATAAGATAATCATACTGTTAATGGCAAAGGGCACCAGATGTTAGACCTCAGTCTTTGAGTTCAGTTAAGAAAAGAATTCAGAGCCAAGGAACTCAAATACGAGAGATTTTTCAGAAAGTCATAGGGGTATAAGAAGTGCACATGAAAGAGGTGAGCCAGCTGGGCTGTGTAAATTCGGAAAACAAGTTACAGAGAAAAGGCCCTTGGAGTTTAGGAGAAAGAAAAAAAAAAGCACCCGGGGGAAGGAGAGGGGAAAAGGCAGGGGCCTGCTCCAGAGAAAGGGTGCCTGGAGAAAGAATGGGGCGGGGAAAGGTATGGGCATGATCTACAGAGAGAGTGTGAGCGCACACTGGGTCCTTCAACTGAAGAGGTTTTAGCTCTTTTTCAAAGGTCGAGATTTAAGTGATGTCAGGGTACAATATCAACAGAATATTTATTAGATTCCCAGGTGTGTCTTCTCAGGGTCATGGTCTTCAATGACTGGTTAATATTAGGGTTCATTAGACAATGCAGCTGGTCCTGATGTCAGCCATGGCATCACCCCTCCTGGACTTGCCGCTTTTCTGGGCCTGGAGCTGAACACAACTGAGGCCTCAATGTTATCTCCAGTTTGACCAACTATGTCTCTTTGGTCAACAGACCTGGGGCTTTGTTCCTAAGATTATTTGATGGTGGTATGAACCTCATTGTCTTGGGGGTTTAATGCTTAAAGGAGTGACTGTGCAAGGGCTTGTATGGGAGTCATATAAGGCTTTTCTCTGGCCTCTTTGTTCTTCCTCTGAGAGGGTCTACTGCAAGATTATTGACATGTTAGGAGAGAAAAGGTCAGGGGAGGGACTGAACCACATGACCAGATATATAAATGGTCAGGGTGTCTAAACCACATGACCAGTGAGAAAAGGTCACTCTAGGGGCAAGGTCCCACCATACAATATTTGTCCCCCAAGTTCTTCCCATTGCTAGGTACTCTCTGCCCTGGTGACTTTCCCTACCTTCATTATTGTTCCTGCTCTGCTCATGTCTGTCTAACTGCCTAATGATGAAACAGGTTGAGCGTCCTGAAGCCAACTTGCTCATCTTGATCTGTTTATTGTTCAGTGAATGAAATGAAAAAAGCTCAGTTCTTTTGTTAATGATTACATTGAGTGACTATTGAAAAGGGTCTAAACAGAATAACTGTAGATTGGAAAGGGGATGTCCAGAATCCTGGAGATTAGATATACTCACCTGAGTAGCAAAGGTACTCTCTGCAGATCACAGCAGAAGGCAATGTGAAAAATTATAATCAGATAGGCAGTTGACATCAAGAAGACCCAATGTCAGATAACATAGGACATCTCAACAGGTGAGTTGTGCCAATTTTTAGGGAAATTTGGAATCAACATCTTAGTTGGCAATACCAGAGAAGACCAGATACAGGGTAAGGAGAGGATGTGGTGAGGGACCAAAAAAAAAAAAAATGGAAACCCAGTTACTTAATTTGTGTATCAGGCAAAGATTTGGTCACATGGAAAAATCCAGAGTAAATGAAGTTTTACTTGCTGCTGGGCTAAGGTCTCCAATGGGTCTTAATATTTCCTCTGCTCATGGGCCAGATTGATCTTTAGGTGCTGGTGCATTGCTGGCAGTAAAAATGTCCCAGCTATAGAGACTAAAAGCAGTGAGGCAGCAAACCAGGTATTCCATTATAGCTGAAGTTCAATACTGACAGATTCTTGTGGTTAGTAACTATAAGTTAACTATCATCAACCTGTAGATATTTTTTTTACTTTGTATAACACATTGGAATTAGTGTAATTGTTATCAGCAATAGGTGCCATTTTAATGTAACCTTTAATATTTAGAGTGCTTAAAAATATCAGAGATTAGACTTTCTTGAAAGCGTTTTAAAAGCTTTCTTAACTCAAAGTTAATTTTCAGTTCATATAGTTATGAATTAGGTGATAGTGTTTTGTTTAGTTTTGTTTGTTTGTTTTGTTTTTACAAAAGAGCCAGGATTAATGAAGGAACCACCATACTAATTTTGTAAAGTAAAAAAATATATATTTATACTAACAATAAGCCTGAAGACTGGTGATAGTATGATCAGTGTTTTCAGATTTCCAGAACAGTCTTAGGTAAGGATGCTAACACTTATCATCTTAACAGAGGGAAAACATATCACAAACTCCCAGTTCTACTCATTACAGATCTCCAGCTTGTATCTGTTTTATGCTATACCAAGTAATGATAGGTATTCTTTTCCTGGAGCTCAGGTTAGCTTAAGAAAATGAATCCTAGAAACATAACATTTCCCAAAACTGAATCAGGAAAAATCAAAGAATCTGAATAGATAGATTACAACTAATGACATTAAAGCAGTAATAAAAAACTCCCAACAATAAAAATAATCCTGGGCCAGATGGCTTCAATGGTGAATTTTACCAAACATTCAATGAATAACTAACACCTATCTTTCTCAAACTAATCAAAAAATTCAAGAGGAGTGGAGACTCCCAAGCTCACTTTATGAGGCCAGCATTATTCTAATTCCAAAATCAGATAAAGACACTACAAAGAAAGAGAATTATAGGCCAATATCCGTGATGAAGATAGATGCTAAAATTCTCAAGAAAATATTAGTAAATTAGATCCATACCAATTGGGATTTATTCCAGGAATGCAAGGCTGGTACAATATTCATAAATCAATGAATGTGATATATCACATAAACAAATTGAAAGACAAAAATGACATGATCATGTCAATAGATGCAGAAAAAGCAATAAACAAAACCTAATACCCATTTTTGATAAAAGCTCTCAGCACCATGCTCAAGCAGGATTTATTCCAGGAATGCAAAGTTAGTACAATATCCACAAATTAATAAATGTGACACACCACATAAAATGAAGGATAAAAACCACATGATCATATCAATAGATGCAGAAAAATTATTTTATGAAGTCCAGCATCCATTTATAAAAACTCTCAGCAAAGTGGGGATAGAGGGAACATACCACAACATAATAAAGATCATATATAACAACCCACAGCCAACATCATCATCAATGAGCAAAAACTACAAGCATTTCCCTTAAGATCAAGAATAAGACAGGAATGTTTTCTTTTACCACTTTTATTCAACACTAGAGGCCTGGTGCATGAAACTTGTGCACTGGAGGGGGTCCCTCAGCCTGGCCTGTGCCCTCTTGCAGTCCAGGACCCCTTGGGAGATGTAGCAGTGCACCAAGGAGGCCAGGGGGAGCCTAAATTGTGCCAGGTGCTGTTCATGCTTATCCTGGCCC